AAAACTGCATTTTTGAACGTCCGTAATTTTATTTACAAAGTAGTGAGGCTATATTTAAATCACTAAAGACACTCTCGCCAATCCAGTGAATACATTAAAATGGCTTGGATCTTGATATGTACTCTGGTTTTCACGGAGAAGATTGCGTAAAATGCCATCTTGAGTGTTACAGACAAAGGGACAGACAGACAGACAGAAATTGAGATAAGACTCGTTTCTGCTTCTTTAATGTATAAAACGTAAAAATAACCTAAAAGTATATAATTCTGAGCAATGTACAGACAAAACTCTAATTTTATTTATATAGATCAATTCAGGCAAATGGAAATTCGCTTTGTCTGCAGGTTTGCTGCGGCGGGAATATTTTATGTTCATGATTCATGCTGGGTTTTATTCTAGTTTTCGTGGGCTCACCTAACGTCACTCTGGAAGACGTAGTTTAAAAAACCACAAACACTCATACAAACACAACTTAACCTAAAAACTGTGGATATCATCTTTTATATTATTAAAATAATTTTTTTGGATTTTTGTGTGCAGCAAATCGACCCCAAACTATTTATTTTTATAGGCATATTGGGTATCAATTTAAAGCTATTATCCTCTAGATGTGCCTTTTGCGGGTTAGGATGATATCTCGTGAAAGCACTTCGTCCTACAGGCTTTTAAAATTTCAGAGATTGTGCTGAATTCTGTCGTCAATCATCTGAACTGTTTCAAGTTTACATTTATTTACATCAAACAGATGGCCATAATAAAATTTTGTTTACATCCAAACGACAATGGGGCTATCTGTAGTTGAGTCGCGGGAAGACTGCCCCCGGACAACTACCACCCCAAGCAGGTTCCTACGTCATGTTGACTTCAGAGTTCGGGGGGGGAGGGCAGTTTTCCAGTCACGGACACTCAAGTTTCGTTGTCAAACTGTTCTAAACTAACTAACCTAACCAACCAAACTTGCGGTGACATTTCAAAATTCTGTTTGATATCCCCACATGCCTTTTCTGTTAGTTATCAAACGGAATAACTCGAATTAAAATTACAATTACACAGCACCACATTTTGCAAGGGGGGGGGGAGTATTCCAGTCGCGGACGCTGCTGCCATATTATGGGTTAGTTGGCAGGTATCGTGACGTCGTGCTACTGTATTTGTATAAAATGTAAAGAAGAACATGACTTAATGATGGATTTTGTGTTGTGATGGGATTTTATGTTTTAATAGTATGTTTTATTGATGTTTAAGGGAATTTAAGTAAAATGTTATTTGTATAAAGTTTAAAGAAGAAAATCGTTGAATTTTGTGTCATGACAGAATTTTGTGTTTTAATAGTATGTTTAATTGATGTTTCAGGGAATTTAAGAAAAACATTGTAATGCTATATTTGTTTAAAATGTAAAAGAAGAGGTTTTGTGCATTAATAATATGTTTTATTAATGTTTTAGGGAATTTAAGAACAACATTGCAATGTTATTGGTTTAAAATGTAAAGAAGATATTTTGTGTTTTCATAGTATGTTTCATTAGCATTTGTAATTTTACTAAGATGCCTCGACGAGATCGCGCACGCAATGAAAATAATAAGGCACACAATACAAATAATACGGATATGATGAGAAATAATAGTTTGTACCCTTATCAACTAAATATCAAATATATAACGCATTTTAAAGTCACGAAGTGACGCATGCTGCTAGTACAAATTAAATAATAATTACAAACAAAAGGTTGAGCCATCTTAAACAAATGAATTCATTTATATAATCGCCAAATTTGGAAAAAATATCTAGGCTGCATTTATATTTTTAAACTTAAATATTACTTTTCGTAAACCCAAAGACATATCCCATGTCCTCTAGGACACTGTCTACCCACCAACAGCTGTATCTTGTACTCTGGCATACTAAAATCAACGATTAATTGGTTTACAACCCTTCCTTCTTACTCGTGCACACTTGTTTTACCACTGTCGTCATCTATACTATTATATACAAATCTGGTGGTGTCTGTCTGTATGTGTGTTACTATTTTTTTTTTTTTTTTTTTTTATGGGGAGGAGGTAAAAATCCATTTATGCACACTGAGGTGCTCAATGGCCACTCAGTAGTGCCGGACTCCCGCGGGCTCATTGTCCCCGGACTACCGGCTAAAAAACCCCCTCGTCTCCTAGGACACTAGCCTGGAACTGTTTCGCACATTACTTCGGGCTAGGCCTTTTATACTACGCCCCTAGGGCTTTCCTTCTGGTTTCCTAAGAAAACTAAGGCCGATCGAGGTCGACCTTCTTATCCCGAAGTATGGCTTCGACGAACTGCTTTACACAGTTCCAGTTTCCTTCCCCCTGTATCATAGCTCCAACGATGTTGTCGGGAGTAATGTCGACGCCGATCTCGGAGATCAAGGAGGCTCGGCGGACATGCCACCTGTCGCAGAAGAAGAAGGTATGCTCAGCCGTGTCTGCAATGCCTGGACAGTACATACAGTCCGAGCTGGCAGCCTTCCCCATTCTGTGCAAAAAGGCCCGAAAGTACCCGTGACCCGAAAGAAATTGAGTCAAGTAGTACCCAACCTCACCATGCTCCCGTTCCACCCATGGTCGGATGCTAGGAATGAGCCTGGCGGTCCAACGTCCCCGAGACTCGGCTTCCCATTCACGCTGCCAGCGGTCGAAACTGCGGTTGCGTTCTTCTCTGGCAGCAGTCTCTCTATCTACTTCAGGTCTCCTGTGGTAGATCGCCTGTCGCTCCCTCGCGAGATGAAAGACTATGTGTGTTACTGATAGGCACATAAACTACTGAACTGACTGGGCTTAAATTTTACAAAAATATAGCTGCTATACCAAAGACTATTATAGGACTATTCACACTTCGAGACTGACCGTGGGCTTTGCCCCTTTGGCTTTAAAAGTTCTGAGGTGAGGATTTTAAAAGTAAATATTGATTGGTCTCCATGGCTGCCATGAGAACACACACAATGTTTGCAATTTGCTATGCCACCCAAATTTAAACAAGCTGAACTGTCAAACCACATCAATTCACAATTCCACAGCTGGTTTATAAATAGGCATATAATATTCTCTACAATGATGTGACATGTTTATTTATTCTTATATTTGATGGTTAATTGATTATTGGTTTTATGAAATAAGTGAGATTGTTTATCTATTGCTGTATCCAACTCTAATTAATTAATTGAAATTTCGCTAATGTGAATGATTGTACAGTATTGAAAGATTTTGGTGTAAAAAGTAGTGAAATTATAAAGTCACATTTACTTGAATCGTTTTAATATGTTTGAACACTTAAAATGTGTTTAGAGTAGGGCACGGCACACACACCTTAAAAATTGAAACTTTTTCTCAAGGAGATAATTAATTTATATTTTTTCCATTTCGAGATAAATAGTGTTCAAATGTGTGTTAAATCACACATTTTAAAATCATAATTTCATATTACTACCCATAGATTAGTTATGATGTTTTACAACCCAGAGGTGGCTACTACCTATCTATATTATAACTTTTGACACTTCCTGTAGATTTCACATTATATTCTAATGATGAATAACTTTTTACGAGCGTTCCATGGTCATTACATGTATATTTTCAACCAAGTTCCTCTTAACTTAACCGACCCTTGACATAAAAATTGTTTGAATGACGTTAAATTTCCTAATTTAAAGCTGATATACAAATACTTCAATTTAAAAACAACAATAAAAAACTAAGTTGTATATGCACTTGCCTTTGGTGCATGAATAGTAGGAGTTATAAATAGTAGGGCTAAGTATGTTTCTGTTTGTTTTAGTAGTAAGAGTGTTAATATTTTTGTTTGTTCATATAGTACCGGTATATAATGAGATATTTTTATAATCAATGCTCAGTGAGCAATGCTTTTTAGAAACAAGATCACATGTTTAATTTTATCATTTAAAAGTAAGTAAAAGCTTTGAGTATTTTATTTGTTTTATTGTTTTAAAAAGTTTTTTTATGTAGTTAGTAAGATATAAGTTTTTGATAGGTACATTTATTGAAATTTAATCTTATTTTACTCTTTTTTTTAGCGAATTTCCCATATAGGGAATAAGCTATTACCGTAGGTCTCATGGTAACACCTAGACCCGGGACCGATTTACTTTTTCGTTTTGACGGCCCCAGAGGCCAAAAACACCATCCGTTCAAATTCATATATATATATATATATATATTTAAATATGTGTCCGTTAGCGCGATAACTGGAGCAAAATTGATCCGATTTTGATGAAATTTGGTACAAACGTGTAAACCTACATTAATTCGAACGAGTTCGCGAACCAGCATAATCGGACCATGGGATCAGGGGTTTATGGGGGGTTTTAAGGGGTAAAAATGGGTTTTTCTAATTTTTGACCCTAAAAACTTAAAATTTCTAAATTTCTCTCTAGACCATTTTGAAGAGCTTAAAAAAACAAATAATGTAGTATATTGAAGTTTTTTTGAATGTTCATTGACTACGGAGAAAATTTTAAAAAAAATGTAAATTTAAAATTCCCATGTTATTGTTATGGAGAATAAATAAACTGTTCTAGTTTGCTTGTTTATGGATATATTTTAATCAAATTTGGCAATTTGGCTTATTTCATACTAAGCTATTAATATTTCAATTGAAAAAACACACCTCAACATCTTCCCCGTAGCAGCAAACCTAACTGCTCACTAAAATTAATGTTATTTAAATAGGAAAAATCTAAAAATTTATAGGGAATATTTTAGTAGAAATCAAGCCGGGTAAATGGAAATTCGCTTAGTATGCAGGTTTGCTGCGACGGGGGTATTTTCATGTCAGATTTCAAAAAGCACCATTTAAACATACATCAACCCCGGACGAAGGACGGGTCCTCTGCTAGTATTTAATATCAGACACATGCTGACATTATTTTGGTTAAGACATGTTCTTACTAGGTATACTTGTATTATCTGCATAGAACACAACCGTTCATTTGTTCCTTACCATCATGTTTAAGACCCAGTGGCAGTGGGGTGAGCTGCCTGGCGTGGACCCAACTGTCCACTACCTGGTAGGGACCATGCTGGCGATGGTTGGGACCTTTGGTGCCTTTGGAAACGCCCTAGTACTGGTTGTCTTCACCAGGTAAATGTACGCTGCATCAAACAAGCCTAAACTGATTACGTAGATAGAATAATAGTGCATGTTTAAAGTTAATCATCATGAATTTCCACACTGATAGATGGGATTTGAAAATATGATTGGCCACTTTAATCTTTGTTCCTTGTCTTTGAATACGCATTTTTTATTGGTCGCCTTTGAATACGAAACAAATTGGAGCTACATGGAACCTACTGTTGTTTTGCAGGTTCCGCCGACTCCGTGGACCGTTCTCTGCCTTAGTAGTGAACCTCGCTGTCGCTGACCTCTGTACGTCTTTTCTACACTCCATGGCTGTCACGTCCTCGTTCTACAACCGATGGGTGTTCGGTAGACTGGGTTAGTGTATTCTTAAAACCTTTACCACTTTTTCACCCTTGTACCTTAGGCATAGTTTTTTGTTTGCATATTGATATTAACTAGAGGTCGTCCAGTGGTCGAAAACTCGACCAAAAATATGTAGGCCTACAGTTCGATTTTTTTAGCTAAAAGTGGTTGAGGTAAGTTAAAATATCTTTGAAGATGAGCCTTTTTGGCTGTAGTGAGGTGATCATGTGTTCAATGTTCACATGACAATCTTTGAGGGTACCTAAATAAAAACAAACAAACTGACATATTGTCAATTAGGGAAAACGTTGTATTACTTACGAAATAATGTTCATTTAAGTTCAAACGTGGTTCAAACTAATTAATTGAGTGGAGCGAGCGTCGACTCTTATGCATTTCGTAATACGCAAACTTCTCCTAGATGGCTGAATCAATCGTTTTAAAATTTTGCATGGTGATAAAAACTATATCGGTGAGTGCCAACATCTATATGGCGTTACAAAAGTCTCTCGGGAATCCGCACCACTGGGTCTCAAAGTTTCAATGTAATCCTTAATGAAGCAGGATTTGACATATAAACAAAGACATATGATCAGCTGTTGACTTTTGTTGAATGCAGTAGATAAAGAAATAGCTGATAGCATTATTCCACAGATATTAGAACAGAAACGGTATGGTTTATAAATATAATCAAATAACGACACTACCTTGAGGTCCGTGACGTAGGAAGCGGTGAAGGAAGTAGTAAAGGTGAGCAGTCTGGAGTGTGGAAACTGTTTATGACGATTAGATTTAGGTATCTGCATTCCTAAAATTCTATGGGAAGGGAGGAAAACGGGTCCGCGATGAGGAAGTGGTAAAGGAAGTAGTCAAGGTGAGCTGTCCAGAGTGTGGGAACTGTTTATGACGATTAGATTAAGGTATCTGCAATCCTAAAATGCTATTGGAAGGGAATGAAACAGGTCCGCGACGTAAGAAGTAGTAATGGAAGTAGTAAAGGCGAGCTGTTCGGGTATGGGATCTGTTTATGACCATTAGATTAAGGTATCTGCAATCCTAAAATGCTCTTGGAAGGGAATGAAACAGGTCCGTGACGTAGGAAGTGGTGAAGGAAGTAGTAAAGGCGAGCTGTTCTGGGTATGGGATCTGTTTATGACCATTAGATTCAGGTATTTGCAATCCTATGATGCTATGGGAAGGGAGGGAAACAGGTCCGTGACGTAGGAAGTGGTGAAGGAAGTAGTAAAGGCAAGCAGTCCGGACTGTGGGAACTGTTTGTGACGATTAGATTAAGGTATCTGCAATCCTTAAATGCTATGGGAAGGGAGGAAAACAGGTCCGCGACGTAGGAAGTGGTGAAGGAAGTAGTCAAGGCGAGCTGTCCGGAGTGTGGAAACTGTTTATGACGATTAGATTAAGGTATATACAATCCTAATATGCTATAGAAAGGGAGGGAAACAGGTCCGTGACGTAGGAAGTGGTGAAGGAAGTAGTAAAGGTGAGCAGTGTTGAGTGTGGGAATGGATTAATGTAACTGCGATGCTAAAATGCTATAGGAAGAGACTGTAGACTGTAGTTAAAATGATTACGAAGCACGAATCGATACATATTTCGATACATGCAATCGTTTACAATAGAAATTTACAACTGAGTTGACAACAGCTGATTTTTACTCCATAGAGGCTAAAAAATATTTTTACTCCCTAAAGAGTAAAAATGCTACTTTAGACCCGCAACGCATGCATTAAAAACGGCTGTTTTTACTGCAGTATGACAAAAAACAATATAATATGAACCCTTGATAACTCCGCTCAATTTTGTGGATGCCTCTGCGAACGCCACCTAGTTGTGACCTGCCAAGGGAATAGGGACCTTAACTTCCAAAAATTCAAAATTGAGTTATTGGTATATTCTTAATCTAGACTATTAACCAAACACACTGATGAAAGAATTATTAAGATATCTTAAAAAAATGCCAAAGTTATAGGTGTTTAAAGTTTTTATTTTAAAATTGTTAGTTTTAAGAAATCGCGCTCCAAAGTTTTCTAATTTTCAAGCAAAGATATTTTTTATACTACTTGGATTATTTGCCATGTTTTACATATCATTTTGTCAGGAATTTAAAGCAGAATAATAAAATTGATGATTGAATTTGAGATAATTATTTACATTGTTAGCCCACTTATCACATATCTCATATCACACATCACAGGTAACATATAACACAAATCACAGATCCACGATCACAGATCACAGGTTACAGATCACAGATCACAGATCACAGGTAACAGATAACACAGATCACAGATCACAGATCACAGGTCACACATCACAGATCACAGATCATCGGTAACAGATAACACAGATCATAGATCACACATCACAGATCACAGATCACAGGTAACAGATAACAAAGATCACAGATCACAGATCACAGTTCATAGATCACAGTTCACAGATCACACATCACAGATCACAGATCACAGGTAACAGATAACCCAGATCACAGATCACAGATCACAGATCACAGATCACAGATCACAGATCACACATCACAGATCACAGATCACAGATTATCGGTAACAGATAACACAGATAACACAGATCACAGATCACAGATCACAGATCACAGATCACAGATCACAGATCACAGATCAAAGATCACAGATCACAGATCAAAGATCACAGATCACAGATCACAGATCACGGATCACAGATCACGGATCACAGATCACAGATCACAGATCACAGATCACAGATCACAGATCACAGATCACAGATCACAGATCACAGATCACAGATCACAGATCACAGATCACAGATCACAGATCACATATCACAGATCACAGATCACAGATCTCAGATCACAGATCATTGTGTAATAAGACACAAAAACGAAAGGGACCTTAACTTCCAGCCATTTAAAAAACATTGGGTCCCTTTTCTGCAGCTTGCAAGTGTTTGGAAATTAATTATTTTAACCATGTTCTAGGTTGAATTCAAGTGTGTAGTTGACTGAATATTGTTTAGAAACATACATAGAGTAAGAAACTATCAAAAACAGAACATGTGATTTTTTGACCTAAACCACTAAAACTGCTCGTACTGTAAAATGTTGTCCTGGAAGATAAGGTCCCTTTTCCCTTGGCATGTCATTGTCTGATTTATTAGAAAACATTCAATATTTAGGCTTCTGCATTTTATAAACCAAACTCGAATCTTGATTCCTTGGCCTATTGTGGGTCAAAACTCAAAACATTAGTCCATAAAGGTTTATCTCGTCATCTCGAGAGTATATAATTCTGACCCCTATCTTGAAACCCTTAAAAGCTGGGTCTGGGTCTTCCAAAATATTTCCAAACGAAACGTAAATCATCATTATGTCCCAACAGATTATCATGTGTATCCCAGTCACAGAAACTACATTATTCTAATATAATAATCGACATTAATTTTACAAGAAGATTATATATTTTAATATTTGCTCATGTTAAATTAATTATTTTCAAAGCAACTATCACGATCACTTAATTTGAAGACAATAATTGGATAACAATTTATTCATTCGTTGATTTGGAATTAGGAATCGCGTCTCTATTTCACAGTAAATATTCTCTAATGACCATGTGATTTTATTAAGCTACTTCATAGTATTATATTAAAATCATTAATCAACATTTTAATGAAATGTTTAGTAAGTATATTTATTTATTGTCAATTAAAAGAATAGACCTATTATGCCACTTTATTTGTTTTGATTTAACCTCAAAATTTGACACGTATGAAAGCATGATAGCACCAGCACTAAAAAGGTCCATCTTCAAAGATATTCCACCACAGCTTAACCGCTTCTAGCTAAAAAAAATCCAATTGCAATGTACAGTCTTCTCTATTTTTCACCCTACACTGTAAATAAAACATTTGACTGGAATTTCTTACATTTGTTTTGACTTGTGCTTGTGTTACTTTACTTGTGTTTCTTTTGACAAATCCTTCAAAATGAGGGGTCACTCAATAGGGGTTGCTATTTGAACAAAATAAATCACCCCTACCCCTTACCGGTACCCTGTTAGGGGGGTTAAAAAATATGTCTTATGTAAACAATTACGGAACTTCTGTCAACAATCAACGCCACAAACAGAATATTTATATCTATTTCGGTTTAAAAAATACAGATTTGTTTCAAGACTTAATTTACACACTGTATAATAGGAGAATGTTTTTTTCTTATGTTATTTTGTCGTGCCGCACGAGTTCACTAGTAATGTGGACCGATTACTATGTATTTAAAAAAGTACTATTATAATGTTTTAATTTGAATAATCTTAAATGTGTTCACTTTGATTACATAATAGATGTTTGCTAACTAACTTATCCAATAAATATTTAACTCAGCCGAGCAAAGCTCAGTCAACTGATACTATAGTATAATTTGAAAACATTTTATATGTCACAGATTAGTACAGGTAAAATTATACTAAAAAAGCAGTAGAAAACATCAACATTGGTCCGTTCGTGAAACTTGAAGGAAACGTAGTAATTACCATTAGGTTTTGAAATCTGATGAGTCCCTAGTGATTGTGGGGGTGGAAGTACCATTTTATGGGGGTTAAAGTTTATGGGGGTAGTGATTTTGAGAAAATTTTTATTTGTGGGATCCAAGCAAATGGGGTGTCGTTTTCTATGTTTCTTAGGATGCAGAATCGAGAAAAAACATAATACAACCGGCAGTTTATTACAAAAAGCCTAATTTATTCATGAAAAACTAAATATGACAAATTAATTATGATAAAACTAGCAACAGAGCCCGTTGTGGAATAAATACAACGGTCTCTAGTAAAATAATGGTAGTGAAATCCATACACCACTTTACTCACTAATATTAATGGCACAGATTAAGCACATAACATTAGAATTGCATACTTAACATAAGGAACTCACTTTAAACACAAATGCAAATTGTGAACAGCAACATTTAATCAAAGAAAAATCAATTAAATAACAATGTAACA